ACTTTTTGTAAAAAAATTACTTAAACGAGAAGATGACGCCTTGCATTTACTACGTTTTGACGGCACAGTCAAATGATTTCTGAATGACAAGGTAATATTCAGCACAAATCACCTTGGCTTCTTCTTAAAACTATTTTAATTATCAAGCATCTCCCCCTAGATTTACGCTTCTTGATAAAAGGAAAATTTAAGAACATACTTAGCTTATAAGTTGAACTTTATGCAAATTGCCTTAGGGACTTCTTTCCAAATCGTGTTAAATGAACATAGAAAGTAACGCATGTTGTTTCTTTTTTTAGAAGGGCACAAAATGTCTCGCTGGAGCGAATCAATCTACAGCGAGCCCAATACAGCTAGATCGTCTAATCATGGATTTCTTGGAGAACTGGATACCTGTCTTTACGAGGGAGTGCCTATGCAAGGTCAGTACTCCTCTTTTTATCTTAAAATAAGGTTGAAGAAAATCGTAGAAATTAGTAAAATTATTGTTTCCTCAAAGATGCGTAAGAATAAAGAAAAGAAAACGCTGTGTTCCGCCTACACTAGAAGTAGAACTCAAGAAACTTTGCTTTGACAAAATTTAAGCATTAGTTTGTGATGTTTTAAAGTGCAGATCCCCAACTGGACGCAGAGGCGCGAGAATGGGCTGCCAGATTTGTTCATTTGCGGGTAGTAGGTGTGAAATGCGGTATACCATCCATATCGCAGAACGACTCCACTCAACAGTCAACGAATGCCTTTCAGTCTTCATCTGAGGTAAGATACGTTGATCTAGCTTCACTTTGTAAATCAACATAAACAGCCATCACGCTGAGCTTTTACAACAAAAACCAATATTTAGACTTTGAAAGAAAAAATTTTGCATGATCGACCATGTCTCTACTTTTCCTATAAAGGAATGTATTTTTGAAAGACAGGAATACGCGCGCAAACAAACAGTTTTGAGCGGTTATTGTAAGATGACTGCTCATAAAGTCAAATTCTGAACAATGAAATAATGATTTTGAAACCATTGAGTGCGGTTTTAAGCGTGTTCTCTCTTATCCCCATCGGACCATTACAACAGTTGAAAAAGATATATTGTTCTGAAAGAGTCAGTAAAAGCGAGCAAGTCAAATGACTACTTCTAGTACCAGCTGATTGTACATTTTATCACTTTGCGAATTTAGCGCACCCCTTATTAATGCTGCTTGCTATGAAATAAATAAAAAATTAGAGTGGTTACTGATGAGTACCTGAATTTTTCAATCACTTATATACCCACTTTTCCTGGCTTAGAGAATGTTTCCATGGTATCAGTGTTACTCAACATTCAACTCAATCTGAGAATACGAACATAAGTAAGTACTGTTAACAAGGGCAATATTCAATCAATCGCCAAGAATGGCAGACATCCTCGTTGCTAAGGTTCAAAAAACCTTCATCGCCTATGCCTGGGGTTTGACAACGAAAGTAAAGAATTTCTGATTTTGGCTCGATTGTGTTTGAAGCTTGACACTGGTAATTTGAATGCGTTATCAGTTAATTGGTCGCTAGGCCACCAGAGGTCAGTAACTGGTAATTTACCAGTAATGATAGTGGTTCTAAAGCATTGTTTACAGGGTTTTGTTCCTGCTAGAGGGGAGGCTAGCCCATTAATTATGGAATGATTTGTCACCTAGCATTTCAGTTCTACTTGCATTATTGCAGATAGAATGCAGAATAGGAGCGTAAATTTTGATTAATCATTTTTCGCAGTTCCGCTTTTTAGCTTTTTTTCTTCTAGATCATCTCTACACCTCTGCAAAAAGTACTTACTTAAAAAATGTTGTAATCAGAATAAGATGGCATTTTTTGGCTAAAGCGAGAAAACCTCTGGAGTAAACTAGCAATTTCATATGATACGCCGCAAAATTTTAGTATGGTTGATTTTTATATGGTATACGCCCCTAAATTAGAAATGCGATTGTATAGGAAAATAGGTGTT